AAACACTTGAGTTTTAGAGCCACGCTGCTAAAGTTGGAACACAGGTTTCACATCCTGTTAGTTGTGTGACCTCAGAGTGGTTTCTTAACCACTCTGTGCCTCAGTTTTCTCATCTATAAAATGAGGATTGCAGTAATAATCATCTAGTAGAGTTGATAGAATTAAATAAAATAAATGTAAAGCATGTAGAACAGTGCATGGAACATAATAAATTATAACAATAATCATAATCCTCTTTGATCCAATTTGGTATGTGTTTAATTAGTACCTACTATATGCAAGGCACTATGTTGAGTAATACAAGATCCAGAACATTGGCTAAAATATGTTTTCTACCCTGAAGGAGCATATAATCTATTAAGGCTCAAGTCGAGTAGATGAACAATTAATAAAAGAGAAAATCTGAGTTGAAGGAGTTCAAAAGTATAATACAAGGTTTATGTAAGTTCAGAGAGAATAAAGGGAGTATATCTGGATGGGGGTAAGTCAGAGGCCTTTTCATAAAGGAGGTGATATTTGAACTAGGCCCTTAATAGGCAGACTTATACTAGGCAGAGACTAAATTGGGAATGTCCTCAATGAGAGGAATTTCATCACATGGAAGGAAAGTAACAGCTCATATTTAGGTAAATGAAGGTGTCTACCTTAGCATATCCACATACGGCATCTCTAGGAAAAACAGAACCTCTAAGAGTGAAAAGACAGTGCGGGCTAACATTTTTGAGGACCTTAAATATATTACGAATTGAGGGAACTTTGAAGGGGATTAAACAGAATAATGGCAACCTAAACATTGCTTTAAGGAGATTTATCTGAGATCAATGTAGAAAATGAACTGGAATGAAAAAAAAAAAAAAGAATGTGATGGTGAATAACTAGTTTTTCCATCTGTGTTTCTCAACTTGTAGTTTAAGTGGCTTATAGTAAAACAAAATATAAGAAAATGGAATTAAAAAGCAAAATAAATTAAAATCAAGTAACACAATAGAATGAAAAGAGCAAATTGCATAGAGGAAAATAAAACACTGCTCAAGGCTTTTTTCTGCCATTTCCCAGTGGCCGAGGCAATGTGGGAAGTTCTCAATGGATCATATACCTCACAGTATCTAGTAGGAGGAGGACACAAATTCATGGTGAAATACACACGTTTTCTGGTCTTCAGTTTTAAGAGGAGTGGTCTCTTTCGGCTTTTTAAACAGATTCAATGTTTTCCCAAAATTCAGAAATGTCCCCTAACAATATTTTGCATACCAGACCTGAAGAAAGCTAAAAAAAGAATGTTTAAGCACCCTTCTATAAAAGCGAGTCTATGAAGGTTATGGTAAGAAGAGATATTTACAGATTGATGCTGTCTGATTGTCCAACTTTGTGTTGATCTTTATTGATATTAGAATTGGAAATTAGATCTCTTTTTAATAGTCTTTGAGAAAGTATACTGATGAGGAAAAGTGCCATCTGGTCACCCTATACACACTCATGACAAATAATCATTTGTTTTAAGCCACTAAATTTTGAAGTGGTTTCTTATGCAGCCATAGACAACCAAAGAAATCTTATTTAATTTTTACAACAATTCTGTGAAGATAAATAGTTACCTTATTTCACAGATGAGAAAAATGGAGATCAGAGAGGTGAAGCAAGGTATCCAATGTCATGCATCTCCTAGGTAGAAGAGCTGGGACAAATGTCAGCTATGTAACCTGAGTGAATGAGTGATTCGTAAGGCCATTAACTAAAATAGAGCCATAATGAGAAGGAGTTAATTTAGAGAAAAATCAGACAATTTGTAATTGCTATTCTTTATAACTTTAGGACTTTAAACAGAGTAAACTGATAAAGCCTAAAATAAAACTGTCAATAAATATAGTACGATAATCTCAGAAAACAGAGGCAGCCTTCCAACCACTTGTTGTACTGCCTTGAGGACATCAGTGTTCTTTAGAGAGAAGCAAGTTTGTAAGGAAAGGTTCATAGACTGAAGCCAGACGGGAGTATTTTGCAATAGATTAGCTCTTCCAGTCTGACACTCGTAGCTTTGAATTCAGGCCATTCTTTCTTCTTTCCTTTTCACCTTCCTTCCTATCTTTTTTCTATAAATATTTAGAGTAAGCATAAACTAAGGCTTGTCCCTGTCCTAGGTTCTGATGCTATGGTGATAACTCGGTCACTCCTGTTGTCAAGGAATGCACTGTACGGCAAGGTTAATTGGTAGAAAAACATGTAATGATCACCAAAAAGATAAAACACTAGGTAGGATGTACAGAGAGCTCTGGGCAAACTGGGAGAGTTATTCCCCTCAATCTCTGCAAGGAATGGGAAGAGAGTTAGTCACGGAAGGCTTCCCAAAGATGAGGATGCTTAAGGCTAGTCCTCTAGGATGAAAAGATCATCTTCTGAAGGAGAGAGGAAACAACATCAGGCACAAAGGCCTGAACTAGAAAGAGCATATAGCTCTTTAACAATGAACTTAGCACTCAAATTAGAGTACCACACTGTGCTGTTACTGGGGGAAGAAGGGATAGAAATGGTGAACCTGGAAAAGGAAGCAGCGATAGGAACATGGGAGGCCTTTTATGCTATGCTCAGTTGACTTTCTCTTAAGGCCAAAGGAAAGCCATTAAATGAGGCTTTAAGTAGGTAAGTGGCATGATCCTATTTTCCTTTCAGAAAAATCATACTGAGTGCACTGTAGAAAATAAACTTAAGGGGGCTAAACTATATACAGGATACTAGTTAGAAGTAACGGAAATTAGGAAGTTACCAATGATGAAAAAGACTAATGAGAAATGAAGTGCCAGTGAGAAAGAAGAGAGGTGGCAGGATTCAAGAAATAAAAAGGTGATACAGGGACTTGATAAGCACATAAGATTTTCTCCCCTGATTGAAAGTCATTTATAAATCCATATGTAATTGTAAATTAAATAACTTATCCAGTAAGTTCCAATGACAGCAATGAATTAATATCATTCAACAAGTTCTTCTCAGAATTATATTTCAGAATGGTATATAATAGACAATAATAAACATAATAATTTCTAAAATATAAGTACTTACCGTGTGATAGGTACAGTGCTATACGCTTTATGTGTGTCTTCTCACTCAGTCTTCCCAGTGGCCCTATGAGGTAGTTATTATCTCACTTTACATACAAGAAATGTGAGGCAGTATCCCCTATATCATTAATTTTTGGTTAATTCTATAAACATATTACTTATTTCATATGTATCAGTCATTATGCAAGGATCTACAGAGGACAGAGGAAAAAATACATGGTACTGGCCCTAGAGATGCTCATAGCTAAATAGGAAAACCTAACACTGATAAATGGAAAATTCTACTATGGTGTACTAGTGCCACCACAGAAGTCTGATCCATGAACTGTAGGAACGATTCTGGAGATGAACATCTTTAACGGAGAGGAAACATCAGCTCAAATGCAGCTATCGGCATAAACTCCCACTGTCAACTACAAGTCGATATCTGGCTACTGGCTGTGGTTGATCTGGTTGTACCATGAATAAAGTCCCCTCACCAAAAGAGAAAGTGGCACAGAGTGGATAGTATGGGTTAAGATAACATGGGTTCATGTGGGGGAACTTCAAGCCAAAATCTACCCCTTGCCCTACTCAAGAAACAGTGTCTGTGGTACAGGTCTAGACATGGGCCAATGACATGTCTAATGTCCAATAAGGGGAAGACCATAATTATTTTATAACTGACTTATCCCTGCTTGCCTTGTTCTTCAAGAAAGACTCTAGATAGGGTTGAAAGTAGTCACTTAGTCCTCAAACAAAAATCTAAATGGTTTTCCAAAGCCTGGTCCTGACCGTATACATAATGAAGATAGGTGAGATCAAGGTAATATGAGAAGTCAGAACTTTTGGGAAACTGTAAGGAAATCAGGTCTCTAAGTCCAATGTTTTTAACTTGTGGTCCATGAGCCATGGCAGAATCCAAAGGTGATAGGTGAGACACAAGGATTTCAAAATATCATGAAGGATTCACTGTTCTCTCATCTCGCTTCTATCTGCAGGCCATTCCTG